CCATGTCCCCGTCATCAGGCAGCGATGCCTTCTCCAGCTCTTTTACCAAACACCACTGGCTCCCTGGATCACCCAGGCTTGTTCCTCTACAGCAGGTCATGCTCTGCAGCCAGTTCCTAGTTTCCTAGCCCTAGTCTGGAGAGGGCTGCATGCCCTGTGAGAGCCCACCCCTCTTGCCCCCCATGAGCATGCTGCACAGAGCGCTGCTCCACTCCTTTTCCTGGCTTCACAGCCGGGACACCCCTGGTGCACTGAGAACTCCTGCGCTGAGGAAATGCTGCAAGAGCTGCAGCTAAAACAGGTTTGTGTTGGTGTGGGTGAAGATGTTCACAATGGGGAACTGGCAGTTTGCGGGATTTAAAAAGTGATGGAAGCATCCAGGCGATTTTATACAGCTAAGACGGTATGGCTTGATTTCATTATGCTGCCATATATCGCACACATTAGGACTGAACAGTACTGCATCTCAAACGCTCAGTGTAAGTCGCATCACTTACACTACATTAGCATGCTGATTCCAGTAAAACTAAAAAATTAATCCAGACTGAAAGAACAAGGGAAGGAATGCAGGTGTTCCTGCACAGTAATAAATCAAACCAGCGCGCTTGCTGTTCTTCCCAGTGAAGAGCGCCAGCGTGGGCAGATGGGATGGGCACCAATTAATACTAGTAACAGGACAACCCCAGCACCCTGAACCAATTTGGAACCACCTGTATGAAACTAAAAGCGCTACCCACATTTCACGTTTTCCAGTGTATTACCCCACCCAAATTAATTGGGAATTATCAGAATGATAAATACAGCAAATACGAGGAATTCTGTGTCCAGCCTGCTTGCAATTCCCGAGGAACTTTTGCCCCAGGGGAGGGGAGCAGCAGTGTAACAGAAGAGACACAAGTGACAGCAACAACTCTGAGGGGGAAAAGGCCCTTCCATAGAGCAAAGGCCAGCCTAGAAGCAGAAGACAACCACAGAGAAAACTGAACTAAGGGTCTGCTAAGGGTTTGGCACATCCCCTGGGGCACAGACCCTTCCTGTCTGGGCTCTGGGTTTTTTTGGGAGGGGCAGGGAAGTGGTCTGTTACTGGCTTCTAAAAACCCTGATGTTAATTTAAACTTTTTGGTATTAATAGAGCAGCGATAGCTGCTGTAATCTGGTGAGCCCTATATAAATGGTCAATAATACATGTCAGAGGGAACACGTGGAGGTTTTGCGGTTTAGATCAAGCAGTAATACAGTCAAGCATCTTTTTAGAGATTATGAAACAGCCTTACTAAAGGAACTGCAGTACATTTTTTCCCTTCCACATGGTATTTTTGTTTGCCTCTTTCCAAAAACGCTGGATGTTTTATTGTCCCCCAACAGGGGTCAGCTGGGTCCCCTTCCTGAGTGGTTACAGTTAATTCAGGTGGTTCAAACAATGCTTTTCTGAGAGCTTTGCCATGCATTTGTCAATACTCAATTTCTCAAATTCTCCTGCCATCATATTGTCCATTCGCTCTGCTTTGTCAGTTTGCAGGGATCACGTATCCTGAGCCTGCGAACAATCTCCTGTAAATCACTGCAGCCTCCTCGGCTCCTTCTGGCAATTTCCACCAGTGGACAGCAGCCAGTTCCGCTGCCCAGCAACCACTGACCTACAGGACGCGATCTCTTCCGTTTTGCGCCTTCTGACTGAATATAGATCCCGAAGTTGTTCACCCTTCAAAGAACCTTTTCCATCTTAAATGTGAAGTTTCACACACGTTGACTTTGCAAATGCTCACAGCACCACTGCCATACGCTTGCACTTGCTAGGGAATTTCCCTATTTCCTGTCATTTTCCAATGGTTAGTGACATGTTCTAGTATCACACTCCCCGACACAGCAGAACATCTCAAAGGGCAGAACCAAACCACCGAAGACCAATCCAGCCTTATCACAAAGCATCCACGCTCGTGTTCCTTTCTAGCATGCAATTTCGAGGCAAGATGAAAAATATTCCTGTACTGGTAAATTATGAGTAACTTTACTTATCCCACAATCTTCACACAGGAAGATAACAACTGTGGGAAGTGTGAAGCATCATTAGGTGCGAGGATTGCAGGATGCTGTCAAGCTTCCACCGCGCACAGCTCTTGGTTATTGTCCTCTTCTCATTCAGAGAATTGCACTGAATTCAGAAAAGGAAGATGAAGGGGAAAAACCCCTCAGTTTTCATTATGGGTTTCATAACAAACAACAATAATTGTGAAATGCTAGGTTTCCTTGACCTTGAGCAAAGGGCAGGAAGGGGGGAGAGCAGGGGCTACAAAAGTATTTTCAAGAACCCTGTGCTCCTCCCTTTGTTTCTCCAAGGCTGTTTGACAGTCTTCGACGAGGCAGCTACCTGTTCAAGCTGGAAGTACGTTTCCAGCCCATTATATCAGTGAAGATTATAATTGCTTACAAAGCTGCTACGGGCATTCTTGCTGTTTTTACAATACTCAAAGCTTTCAAGGACTTTTAAACAAATAACCAGTTTAGTGAATATGAGAGCACTGTACCTCTGTTTGGGGACTAAGGAAACAAAAGTAATCCAAATAAACCTGGGGCGGGGGGGGGGGAAGGCCAACTGAGAAATGAATGTCACTTCTATTGAACTGGCAGGCAGACTGTGAAATCCCACCTGAGGAGCAGGAAAGACACAGCTTTTCTGCTTTATTGCATTCAAATTCTGCAAGAATAAACCAGCTGTGCTTAAAGCGACTCTGAGCAAGTATGAGCATGGCATGCCACACTGGAAGAATCATAGAAGCTCTGCATTCTTCCTTACTTTGAGTCAGTTTGAGGTTTTTCATGGGTTTGTTTTCTTTAGAGTGACTTCTCTATGAAGAGTTTAAGGACTTCTACTTTAAAAATCATTAGTAATATGGCAGTATTTCGATTCTGAGACAAATCCCCTTAGCTATGTAGATTCAGTAACAAATAAGTAGTTTTGAACATTGTTACTAAATGATGAAGTTACATGGACTAAAATGTTGATCAATACATAAAATAGCATGGTCAGCCTTTCTGAAAAATAGCATTGTAGTGCATTTTTCATGCTTGAATTTCAAAGTTATGCTTTATCTTACAACTACTTCTAAGACAATAAACAAAGAAAAAGGACCCTAAAATTTGACCAGAACTGCTGCCTATTACCGTTTGAATTTGTGGCACGTACACATTGCATACAGCATCATACCGGCACACCATTTCCCAAACCATGCAACGCTACAAATAACTGAAGAACACACTGCCCTCTTCCACCAGTAAATAATAACAGCTCTTTTCCCTCTCTTTTCAACTCACTTTAAGCCTTGTTGTTCTTTATAGGCTTCTTAAATACCACATTTCCTTTTTCCCCAAGCAAACTCTAGAACCTGGAAGTGATGTTTGTTTTCCTGAAACGTAACTGAACTAACAACCCTCTGCCTAATATTCCCATCTGTTTACAGAGATGACCTGTCCCAACACAACTTATAGCTTAACTAATTGATTGATTATGTTTTTCCCCTGCAAGAACTTATTGATATGCAACCAGGTTAAACCTTTGCAACTTAAAATGGTTTCTGAGAAAGACTTCATTATTATTCATAGAAATGAAGGTATGCAGCCTGCAAAATTATTCCAAAAATTCAAAGGCTGCAAACTCAATCCCTGCTGTTTATTTATCCTGAGCTACCACTACCGCAGGGATTTTCAAGGTACCCTTAAGAAATAACATGCTCAAATACTTTTCAGTATTGAAACCAAAAACAAACGTTAGCCAGTGAATGTCTACAGGCATTTTTAAGTTACTGCTTCCCTTCACTCTCCACAAGTTTGCTGCACCAGGAGTTGACTGTGAAGACACAAAAATCACAGATAGCTTTATTACTGTCGTGACACAGGGCAGAGCTAAAGCCCGGGGCGGGAAATCCCCATGGGGGTCAGTTTCGAGCCTCGCCGGTTTCCGTGCAGCCCCGACTACGACCCCCTCTGACCCCAGCGCTGCCGCACAGACATGCCGACCTCCCCGAGGCCTTTCTGCGGGCTCCCCCTGACCGCGGAGCGGACAAGGCACCTTCCCAGCCCCCGCAGAGGCGCCCGCCGGGGCCGCCGCCGAGCCAGGCCTACCCAGCAGCCTGCTTTGCCTGTACGATGAGGACCAGGAACAAATAAACGATATTGTTTGCTAACTCGCGTTGCTTAAACCGAGCCGCTGGTGGGAGGGCTCTGTGACCGCCGGCGG